TGCTTTGCTAGATACTTTCAGTGTACCACAAAGAGATACTTCAATACACACAGAGAGAAGTTACCCCTGGCAAAATTTCCAAGGAAAGATTACAATGTGGCCAGCAGAGGATGCTTGGCGTTTTATTGCTTCTTGAAGACTCAAAATGGTATCCGTGACAGTTGCTAACAAGTCTGTGTCGCGGTTACAATTGCAAGATCTGCGCTTCGGCCCTTTTCGGCAACTGCATGAACTGGGAGGGAATCGAATTCTTCATTTTCATTAATTCTGGATTCTCGCACCGTGATCTTTACCATAACACTATTCGCTCATGCAAAAAATTACGTACAACCACTTATTTATAACTACTCTGTCTTCAGCAGCATAAATCTTTCATTCCTAATTTTTACCAATTCTTCGTGGATATTCGAAACAAAACTAGGCATCAAACGATACAAAACAGTTTTTTTTTTCATTTTTTAATAAGGAAAATTTGGGATCGTCCATTATACTTCAATGAAAACCCATTCGGCGACAAAGCAGTTCCAAAGCAGCGGCCAAAAAACAGCCAGAAAAAAGCTTCCCCATTTTTTGATAAAAGTAAACTTAAAAACGCGCGAAAACGCAAAATGCATACGGTGGAGTGCGAATGGCCGCTCCTGAAGATAACGGCATAGAAGTAGCATCACATTCGGAAGCAGCTACCAGAGAGGATCTGAAGTTCTGAGTTCCGGGCTGCTTTCCGAGAAGCTGCAATTTGAGGGAACCTGAGGAAGCGGAACGTCGCATTTGCTCGTCTTCAGCCGCGATAAATCTCACTGGCCTTGTTGCGTTCTCATAGATACGCTTTTGCGGATGGCCGGAAGTTACATTTCGAGCTGTTGTTGCAGAGATAAAACTTTCGTGTGCACACGTACAGCCACCTCCGGTCACAACGGCTGGACTACTTTCGGAAGTTGATGACGAAGCTATGCTTGTTGCCTGACCAGCAGTTATATCTAAACTGCGTTAGCTAAAGTAAACTAGCAAACAACCGTAGCAAGTTCCGAAACGAAGAAACACAAGCAATAACAATGCCCGACAAAACAGAATTGAAGTTGCTCAGATGTAATTCACACAAACATTTCGTTAGTGAGGTTCACCGACGATTTTAAATATGCAAGAACATGATACTGCATTCGGAGGGATATAAATTACACTAGCCAGGTACAAAACGGAACGAAAATGGTGACTTTGCCCAGGAAGAGAATGGCGAAGAGATTCTGGTGCAGTTCACTAATTTGAATATCACTGCAACGGAGGTTGTAGAAAAAGACTGAAAAGGCTATTTGAGGTAAAGTTTTTTTTTTTGTTTCAGTGCATTGGAATTCAACAAAAACGTTAGCAATAAAAGCAACTAAGGTAAAAATTGGCAAAAAAAAAAAAAACTAATCTGAGGAGAGCAAAATGAGAAATTCCAATTACTAGCAGGAGTGTAACAAGCAAGAAAAGTGGAAATTTCGAGGCAAAACAACCAGTTGTAAGCTAGTCATCAGCATAATGACAGCAGTT